AACGATTTCTCTTTTCCCAACTTACTTTGCCTTCCTACTACTTTTTTAGCTGTAAGTTCCTTTGCCATATTCATTATATGCATCTTAAATAACTGAAAATTGCATCTTGGCAGAGGGTTTCATCAGTTTTTCATGGTTTTAATTCAGCCTCTGAGCTCAGACTAACTGGCATAAGAGTCCCAGGGCACATTCCATCTGTAATCAATTCCTCTGTGCCCAATATCATTATTCCATTTGTTTCAATTTTGGTAAATTGTTATGATAGCTAATCCTTTTTCTACAATTCATCACACTGAAGTTCCCAAAATAAAGTTTGATATGGAAGTTAGGTTACAGCAGGCTGGTCAGAAAGGTATTATTTTCTTTTTCAGTTCTGTGAGTGTCACACATCTCAGGTTGATGAAAGTATCAGTGGTACGATTCTCATTGTAATTTGTGCAATATTCCAGTCAGTAACAGTGTCTTGTTGAAATATGCATGAAAAAGTCCATAACATTAGTGTAATGGACACACTCCAACACATCTCTCTCATCCGGCTTCCTCATAAAGRTTTTAAATGACTGTCTTAATTAGATCTTAATATTAACGGGAATATTACAGAAAGCTAAATGAGGGCATAAACTTCAGCTAAAAGCTACTTCTACCCAAACCCCTGCCCTCTGGTCTGCACACACCAAATCGTTTCAGAATATTTTCATGCTCTATTTTGGTTCCACTGACTGCTCCTTTTTAAGCTTTTAACAACAAACTGAGCTTTTTTTTTTTTTTTTTCCCTTAACAAAACCTTTCAAATGTGTCAGAGAAAACAAGGAATTACCTTGCTTAGGTTCACGAAAATCTTGATTACTGCCCTGGCATTTCATTGATCGAAGCACTAGGGAACTAATGAGAAAATCCACAACACAGCAGATTAACTTGGTCACTTCCCTCTTTTCTTTTTCTTTTTCTGTCTTTTTTTTAAATGTCTATTTCATCCTAATGAGCTGTTACAGAGAGGTCAAACAGAAATCTCTTTGCTGAAGGTCATTTTACATCTTCTGCATCCTTGAGCAACCAAGAAGCTATTTCAGACACTTGAAGAAAGTACCAAACACCCGTTCTAGGGCTGCCCTACTGCAGGCATCCCTGGAAAGCAATTGCACCTACAAAGTTCTGGCAAAGCAGTGCCAGTTAGATCAGTCAGGATCTCCCTTACACAGTAGTGAAGACCAAGTGGAGACTTGTGCCTGCATTGTTTGGTTAAGTTTCCTCCTGTTTCCATATCACAGCATGCTCAGTTAAAGCTATTTTGGTGCTTCACTGATCAAACTGATTTTCCCCTTTGATGATAATATGAAATATTATAGGATAATAGGGTTGTTATATAATCAAAGTCGACAGCAGGGAGCTAAATTTGTGTTGTTTTGATGAAGAACACATTAGTGTGACATAAATAGACTAATCTGATTTATTATTATTATTTCTAATGCTTAATAATAGGGAAGGGTAGGGGAAATGAGACTCTGGGGAATGAGAGTGCATCACAAAGTGATAGCAGACATTAGGATATCGAGTCATAAGCGGCATCACTACTACCTGTTTGTAGCTGAATTTCAAAAGAGCGAGTAGCGAGCAAGAGAAATTGTTCTGAAAGAAATAATGTCTGAAGAGGAATGAACCAAACAATGTACCAGCGAAAATATTCGGTRAAAAGCAGTGTTCTGAGAAGAAAACCTGTAGGGCAGTAAGAAGTCAGAACTGACAAAAGTSAGCTCACCTTTCACTGACTGACTTTTCATGTTTAACTGAAAAGCTGGGATTAACTTGGACAAAAGCTCCCCTTTCATGATACTTGCTGTTCCAGTTCCAGACAGCCCAAGCCATTATCCACWCATCAGTCAAGAACCATGAAAACAGCTAAAGACAGAGGCAGATTTTGCCTGGGGAACTGATGTGTACGTATGAGAGTTCTCGTGTCTGGCTGCTCACAAAGTCCTGCAAGACTTTCCCTGCAAAGGAAACATCCTGCCACTTCAAAATCCCGTGTGTGGCAAAAATACAGGTTGGACAAAATTGTGGGCCCTTCAGCCAGAAAATAAAAGAAATAAACCGATTTGAAAATCCCAAGGAATGCAGATACATTCAAGCAAAACAGTTTCCCACGTACACACTCATTTTAGCTTTTAGATTTAAAAGTGTGGCTACGGACATCTATTCTGGCCCCTTCRTATCAATATACACAGATTTCTTCAACTACATCTACAAACTTCAACTAAGCTAAAGCAGAGCTATTATAAAGCCATTGAGTTTTAATGCAAAGATTCTAAGTGGCAGATAACCCATGACATGCTGAGGTAAGTTTCTCCCCTGYTTAAATACCCCGTGTATTAAAATTTACTCTGCATTTATGGTTCCAGAGGGAAGATTTAGTAACAAATCAGCTAGAGTAKGTAAAGTTTTCAGCTTCTCCAGTTCAACATGTTTTATAGGACATTTAAATACTATTTTTATATGCAGCAGAAATAATAATTTCTTCTTTTCTTGAAGGAAAAGAGAAAAAAAATCTAAGCAATGTTTTATAAGATGTAACTGCTTTTCTCTTTTTAAAGCTTTTRCTAAAAGTCCTATTACCAAAATTCTCCTTTGCCAGGCACAGAATTCCACTCGAATTCTGCAAAACCCCAAAGTTTTCCTGCTTGTCTCCACTGTCAAATACACCCAGCAGCTGTACAGGATGTAGATGTGCATATTCCAAGCATACTTTTTCTTATCTCCAGAGSAGGAAAAGAGACCTACATTTATTTGCACTGCTTGGATAACACAAGCAAAGGCAAAAAAAGTGAATTTGGAGAGCACTGCAAACCCTCAGGGCTAATGCCAGGGGAAGCAGCTTTAAGGTGTCAAACACTGAGGTGGTTTAACACATTGTGAAACTGCTTTTTCAGGTATTCTTGCTTCGATCCTGCTGCCATCAGCGATCGCCCAAGGACATGGTCCTGGCAGCACAGCACTGATGCACCCAGCACCCTAAACATTACTCTGAAAAGTCCATCCTCATCCATCCTCATTAAGAATGCTGTTAGTTCTTCACTAATCTTAATGGAGGATTTCATGCCACAGCAATTTCTAAACCCAAAGGAAGCTGCGTAATGGAGTCAAAGTCATGGATAACTTGCTTTTCATTTACTTATTGAAAGGCAGATGTGGACAAGGTGAACATGTTTGATAGTTAATAATTTAAAGCCAAGAAGACAACAGAGGAGGAATGACATTCCTTATTTCTCCCTATTAGTGTTCTTTATAGATGCCTCTTTGAGAGGATATCAACATCCATCAGCACACAGAGCTCAGAGCTGGGCACACACCATCTAGTTTTAAGGGTAAAAGGAAGGATTATTGCTTTTACRCTGAGAGCACAAAATGGTAGAATCAGCAGGAGGTGATTAGTGCCAAAAAAAAAGGGTTTTGTATGGCAAATTAACACGGAAAGCGATTTAAAAGACAGAATTAAATCAGAGACAAAGGTGCAGGTTCATAAAACTCCCAGTCCTACTCTTGTAAAATCAAAGATAAATCTCCAAAAGCACTAAATCCCATGTAATCATTGAAAATTCCTATTCTCTKAAAAGGGAGCTGGATTAGGCCTCTAATTCAGTTCTGTAAAGTCTGTTTGGTCCAGATGAAYAACTGAGAGATGGACAATGTCCAAGGAACAACTCTATGACATGGTCTCAACATCCTCCACAACTTGCCAACACAACTGCTCCCACTGTTGCCCTCCAAACGCTGGAGTAAAGCTATTTTTGCCCATTACTGCTAAATGTGTTTTGCCTTTGCCTAGCAGAAAAAGCAATATCACATCTAATCTCACAAGTTCCCAGTGAGCCAAACACAAGATACTGTCCCTTGAATTCTTCCTGAGACCAACAAAGGCTTTCCATTATTTACAAATCAAAAGCATTTAGAGACAATCATCTTTATTTTTTTATTTAAAACAAAGAATGCCCTGTCACTATTATATAAGAAAAAAATATACATCCTCCTATTTATACCCATCTTAACCAAGCATTCCAAAAAATATAATTCCTATTCATGCAGGTAATTGCTGCACAAAATAATAATAATAATAATAATAATAATAATAATAATAATAATAATAATAATAATAATAATAATAATAATAATTTATAAATAAAATTAAAATAATAAAATACACTCTTGGGTTCCAACAATTCTCCCAATTTATCTTAGAAATTCTGTTTGCAAATTGTTGGAACAGTTGAAAATTATAAAATTAAATATAGTTAAATTAATATGAYTATTTGCTTTTGATTATTAATTCCATTGCTAGTTTTTCTTGTGTTTTTA